TTCGGGTGATAGTTAGATTAAACTCTCAAATCAAAATCGTTGTTGTTCCTTCACTTCATGAATTCTCTGTTGTAATTACACTATCAACTCAAAGAGTTTGAATATGAGAGTTCAAAACTCCATGTTACTTTTGTAATGTACGCTTATCTAACTTTGTTGCTCTTGTGAATATTCGTGAAGTGTATTCTGTGGTAAGGCGTGGTTAAAATAAAATGTCTAAAGCATGAAAATTTGTTCAATAATTTTCCTTTGCAGTTATATCCGAGAAATTTACAGTTTAGACCAATTTGTTAGCTGTCATATCACTTAGCTGGGTCATATCATATAGATGACTATGTAGCTTGTTGATGGTTCGAAACAAGGCCCAGATGTCTTGACAAATGAAATAGCAGATCTTATGCAGTAACAATGCTACAATGATTATTTCATTTAATTATAATCTTGCATTCATATTCAGTTTGAAATACGCACCTTAGTATGTGTCGATGTCTCAAAGAATTGATGATTGATTAAATCTAAAGATATAAATCAGATATCCAATCGATCAAAATGTGGTATAACACATTTCATGGTGTAGACCTAGAAACATATGAAAATATTATATTTATCAACTCTGATTTGTTTTACACGAACAGCAACTACACGCTGGTTGTTTGGGCAATTTGCTTCACAGACTTAACTTAATGATTTTGTCTCAGACAACAACTGTGTGGAAACTAGAGTGTACAAGTACTTCCTTGGAAGAGTTTATAAGTGAGTTGCCTTTGCACGCAATCTTAACGACCGAGCGTGCGAGGTGAAACTTGAAACCTGCAGTGCTGTTGTTTGTGGCACTTCAGACATTTACCTGCGAATAGTGTATTATAATTGTTTATTTAAACCTTCGGGCTTTGTTTCCAACTCAAAATTCGTCTTGTATGTCACGAAATTAACTATAAAGACGAAAATGTTGTTCTCTTAGTTTTTATAACATTATGATTCTGTTATGTACCTAGTTGTAGATGCCTAAACTTATACAAGCTTGTTAAAAGTGTTATTTAGCATTGCCATGCCATTGTAGCCTAGTCAAGTTAACTATTTGAAATTACAGTACTTCGGAATTTAAATCAACTACTTAAATTTAGAAATTGCTACGTGTACAGCGTAGTTATAATAGTATGTATGACTTTGTGTCAATTTACTATTTTAATGTTTCAGTTTACACTCGCTGCGATCAATATCTTTTCCTATCGATTCAATTAAGGAAGAATAATTATAGGTGTTATTGTCGACCGATATTACTTCATGACAACTTCATTTTTCTTCAACAAGAAGTTTTTGTAACACCTGTGACACCCCAAAATATAAATTCCAACAGTTGCAGTCCTTAGTTAAACATTGTTAAAACTAAACAATATGGCTACCCATGTCAATGTTCGGCATGTTGTCAATTAATTATGTATAGTTCTAGTTAGTTAGTCAGAATCTGCTCCACAAAGCTACTCAAGGCATATAAAATCTATATTTAGAAGTGTTCAAAGAACTAAACGCCGCGCCGTAGTTTTAGAATCAGATTCTGTTCCCATTGAGATAAGGCCAGATTACCCGCACACTTCTGTCATTCTTGTGATTAAAGATGTCTTGGTGTTATCAGACACGTTATCGCCCTCTCAACACATTGTTAGTATAACTCTCACTATCACAGTGACAACATAAGTACAACTACTGGGCTTTAGCTGCAACTCACTTAAAACTCACTTTCTTGTTCACTTAGCCCGTATTTCAAATTTATATTTTTCTTGAGTAGGGAATACGTGGCTATGTAGACTTTATGAAGGTCCTCGACTGGATGGGTAGTGTTGGGTAGGCGAGTATTAATAGTACTCGCCTTACAATCGAAAGCTTGTCGGTTCGAAACTGGATCCAGCTGTTTCTGAACAGTGTGATTTTAGCTAAAGAATCAGCTGATCTTGGTCAGTATCAAAACTACACAGATCAACCTAATTCGTTCATTCTACAGTATCTAAAGTCTGGTACACGTAGTTCGGTCGCCTACTTGCAGAATCCAAGTACTGTAAATAGTTCATCTGGATCGCATAAATTAAATGTTTACTTGCAGTATCCAGAGTCAATGATGTACCTGTTTCTTGGAAATGGGATATCTACTTCTAGTATCTAAAGTCAATGCTGCATCTGGGTCACGTCAATGCAATGTCTAATTGCTGTATCCAAGGTTAATGATATATTTGATTCACATAAATGGAATCCCTATTTACAGTATTGTATCAAGTAAATTGGTACGTCTGGTTCACGTAAATGGAATGTCTACTTGCGGTTTCCAAAGTCAATTGTTCATAATCATAATTGGTTATTAGTTACTTAGCAAATAATGCTCAACGGTATCAATCCGATTGATCTTACCTTTTGTTCTCTATTTTGTTTTGTAATGTGCTAGTTTGGATTTTTTATTGATAAACATATGTTACGACTTTTGTTTGTCTTTTTATTGTTATGTTGCAAAATACTGTCATGGCAAACAAATAAACCAAAAGGCCCATGATAAATTTCTTAAAAGTTTAAATTCGTGTAAGGAAGACCCCAGTTGTCAGAATTGTGCCATTTTCAAATCTATACCTTCCCATAGTTGCTTAGTGTGTATGTGCTAAATTTCGTGCTGATCGCTTCAGCCGTTCAGGAGGAGTATTTGTAAAACAAAAGACGGAGTGTTTCGCTCACTTCGCTCAATAATACATGGACGACTGTAGGAACGACACAAGTAAGAGGCGAATGATTAGGACAATAAACGTGACACAAACTTTCTCCCGTAAGCGTGTCAACAACCTTTAAGCGGTAAACGGTGGGAGTAGTTATGATATTTTATAGGGAAAATCCCAAAAGTTGCAATAACTTTTGAACCGTAATGTTTACAGCCTTCGGTGGTTTAAATTAAATTTTAATCAAACCCGGCTTTTTTCAAAAATCATAATTTCCTGTATTTTATGGGGGTATAATGGGAAAATAAAATAAGTTGCAATAACTTTTGAATTGTAATTTGTACAGTAATATGAGTTATACTGTACCATTTTGTTCAGAATTTAAAGGAGGTAACACACAATTTTCTTTTTCAAAATCGTTAGGGAAATTTTAGAGAAATTGTATATTTCCGTTTTTTTTTGGGGGGGGGATGCTTCCTTTATAAGATCCTCGCACAGGTGAGGTAAAAATGGCTACCAACATAAAAAAAAACGAAAAGTTATTGAAAAATACCTTTTTTAGACTATAGTTTCGGAATCGTTGGAGATGGAACGAAACTTTAAATGTAGAAAATTTGCTATTAATTTGAGGTTATTCACATGTAAGTTCTTACTTTTTCCTGTATTTTTACAATTCGTAATCTTTTAACGTAGATTTTAGAAAATGTTTGTAAAGGGCATATTTTTAATAATCTGGGATTCAAGTTGTAATCCTTCTCATTTATGTAGGTGGTTGAAATAAAATTAACTGTAAGGCCCTGAATGTTAGACATTTTTGAATATCTTGTTCATGTGCATCAAGATAGAATTATTTTTTTTTAAATGCTCAGTGAACAAATCTTAGAAATAATCAAAACTTAACATACATTTAAATTTGAACATTTTCCAAAAACACATTTTCCCTTTGATGAGTTTGGGAGATTTCAAAATAATTTCCCCAATTCTACGGGGTAAAAATAGGGAGATCTGTTTTTCTATTGACCTGGCCGTTATACAATGAGCACATGTGGTCTCCCTCACCTGTATTTATACAATTTAGTAAAACACCTTGTTCAAGGAGCTATGTTATTTTGAAAAGAAGTTTTTAGATGGGATAACAATATGCAATTGACATTTTATGGTAGAAGCACACCTATAATCACGCCTGAAAGATTGTTATTGTGTTGGTGAAAAGGTGAAATAACAATAATTAAAAGCCAAATTCAGTAAGTAATCATCAAAGCAGATACTTTATTGGTTTACATTTTCGTTGGTTTTTGGCAGTATAACAATCCTTAGGGGGTTTAGATTTTACAAATATTCCATTGATTAACTTTCTTGAAATAATTTTACCTGTCATGAGATTGTTTTGGTACTTCTTGAAGCAGGAGATGCAACCCTGGGAGTATTGGAGCCACCAATCGTCTTTTAGATATACTCCATTGGGAAAGGATAGTATATTATAATTTTAGTTAACGTTAAGTGTTTGGACTACACGACGTTTGTGGAGGTGAGAGAAATCCTCCCTTTTCAAGTGACCTATCTGTGTGTTCATAACATATTACCTTAAGGTTATGTAATCGATATAATTGATATAAAATATAATATGTGGGCCAAATACATCTAGGTTAGGATGGATAGGTAAATGTAGATTTAGGTCACTGGAAAACGAAAGGAGTTCCCTCACCTTTCGAAACGTAATAAAAAAAACTTAGCGTAGGAGGAGTCCATCAAACTAATAATGATCCACACTTCGTTCGCAATTGTAAAATAAACAAAAACAGTAGGACGGTGTGCTATATTAATGCAAATAAAACATGAAATAATTTAATATGCCACCAGGGAACTGAATGATTGCTCGGTCTTAAAATGGTCTGGAAGCATTATTGAAATAGTCTCTAGGAACTGTATAATCTATAGCCAATACGTAATAGATGATTACTACCCATGACTAGTGAGCACTGAGCTGGCCTACACCGTACACAGTTGTTGGTTGCATTTGGCGTGATTGTAGCCTTACGTGAGTGTTGTTTTTATAAACATCGATACATTAGTGGTGGCTGTCGTTAGCGCACGTTAGCGATAGTGGTCGTAGTGGACTGCTGTGGACTGAAACCAGGGGGTAAAACACGAAGGAATTGTTTGTTACGGTAGTAGTAATCATTCTACAGGACGAGAAAACTTGATACTGACGTTTTATCCCATTTCTAAGTAAATTCGTGATCGATTTCGTTAGTTTTGCCTGTCGACAGTTAAAGTGCGAATAGAAAAAAAATAAAGTCTTAAGCTATGGTTCCACAGGATGCGGAATCTCCGCCATGCGGTGCGTAATTTTTCGCAGCGGAAAATTACGCAGCGAAAAATCTAGAGGGGTGGTTGGTTCTACAGACTGCGAAAATAACGTTGCGGAAATTCAGTTCTGTCCAAACTAGCGACGAGTATGGATAGAAAGAGGAAAGCACTTTGGCTTTGATGCTATATGATGACATTGATGATGATGTTGTCGATCTTTTATCTTAGTTAGCGTCAAGTCACAGTGATCGAAGTGACATACCCTATTTAAGAATCGAGACAGTGAAGGGGCCTATTTTGCTATTTATTTAACAAAACTTAAGGCGTTTCAATCACGAAATCCCGTTTAACACTTGATACCCAAACATCTCAGGATAATTGTTCGTCAGGTCTACTATTTTTGACAGTTTATGTTAAATGTATTAGGCTATAATAATTTATTTTAACAGTAAGTTTGTTGAAAATCGGTGTTGCGATTATAGGTGTTACTTTATAATCGTTCATCTATAACTCTTTTTACAGCACAAGACATAATGAAACTGCACGGTCACAATATTTGATGGGTCTTCTCCGCTGGCGGAATCCGCACTGCTACTGCTCTCAGACCAGTATGATTTCTCCGCCATGCGGAACGGAAATTTCGGGATGCGGAATCGCAAGTCAGTGGAACCGCATACATGGGAACTCCATTAAACCCAGTGTCGTTTTAATTCCGCAGCGGAAAAAATCGCACCGCACGGCGGAGATTCCTTATCCTGTGGAACCAGGCCTTTCCCTGGTGTTTGCACGCTTTAATGTTGAGAGGGACTAGAGGGAGTATCCGTACTTTTGCCCTACTCTGTATATTGTCTCTCTACCGGACATTGGCCGTTGTCGGCGTTGCAGTCGGTGAGTAAAGATGCACAACGCGTAGTGTGAAGGACACGTCAGGCGATAACAGACCTGTGACGCAAACTGGACACTGGACAGTAACCAGCAGTGGTCATACGTCCGGTCTACTATACCATCTACTAGCCACCATCCACAACACAACATCTGCTATCCACCATCTACCATCCACAATTCCACATCTACCATCTACAACCCAACATCTGCTATCCACCATCTACCATCCACAATCCACCATCTACCATCCACAATCCAACATCTACCATCTACAACCCAATATCTGCTATCCACCATCTACCATCCACAATCCACCATCTACCATCCACAATCCGACATCTACCATCTACAACCCAACATCTGCTATCCACCATCTACCACCCACAATCCAACATCTACCATCTACAACCCAATATCTGCTATCCACCATTACCATTCCCAATCCAACAACTACCACCCATAATCCACAATCCACCATCTACGATAAGAGGGTACTTTAAGTCGAAAGTACCACTTCATTATTTTTTTACGATTCTGATGCTCGAAGTCTTGAACTTCTTATAGACTAGCAAAAGTTAAAAGATCAACCAAATGACTTCCTTTAATAGTACTTTTACTTATCTATTATCTGCCTTCATAGTTATAATATTGTTCGTTTTCTTTTTCCATTCCTAACTAGTTTATTTAATAATAATAAACAAAAGTAGAAATAATAACAGAAATTTGCGTAATATTAATAAAAAAGTCCCATCTATTTCGACCATTTGTTTCCAGTTTTTCTTAAAGAGATCATAGATTAAAGAGTTTTTCATGGAGTTTGTTACTGTTGAACTTGTATTTTATCATTAATTTTTCACGCTTTGATTGTTAATGGGGGCAAAGTTATTCCTATATCGTTACCAAGTAGTTAATTAAGTAATAACTAACAGATAAACTGAAGTGCACCAGGTTTGCGTGACCCAGCTCATGTGAGCCAGGAGATGCAAAACTACAATTGAGACTAGTTATCTGTTTTTTTTACTGTCAAGGCTAAACAAAATGGATTTAGGGGCGTGACCAGCCTCAAGCCCAAGATATCAATGATGAGAAAATATTTGTCAAGTAGGATTAATGAAGGTCGCAAATGTTTTACTCGTTCCAACACAAGCATAAATTATAAAAAAAACTGTTTTGTTTGACATACGTTTTACTATTTAGCCTATCCATTTTCCTATAGCGTATTACGTTTTTCATTTCACAAATGTAGTGAAAGTAAAAGAGCGATTTAAACACATACAATAGGCCTACAATACACATTTAACGTTTTAGCCCCTGGCTTATCATATTATTAAGCAATTCTATTAAGGATAGTTGACGTAAAGTACACTTAAAAGAAGTGGAGAATGAAAATGGGCCTTAGATATAAACTAGCTGTTACCCACGGGTTTCACCCCGCTTGACTTCATTAGTATTAACATAGATAAAACATACTCTAAAACCAACAGTTGATCAATTGATTGTTTACGGCTGAAATATACAAAACAGAATATTAGTACCTAGCTAATAAAAACAAATAATCACACCTGATTTTAATAAGGAAATAAATCGAAAAAATAACATACAAATAAGTACAGCTGAGATATTTTTAAAATTAGTTATATGAAAAGTTCCCTTTAGAAAGGAATTACGACCTTAAAGGGCAATTTATGAAATAATGAATAGTTTTGCGCAAGGTTTCTCGTTATGAGGAACATGACATGCAGGTATATTGTTTATGGGGGTGTGACTTGTAGTTTTCTGAAAAGTTCATGGATACTTTGGGATTTATATATATAATGAATAGTTTTGCGCAAGGTTTCTCGTTATGAGGAACATGACATGCAGGTATATTGTTTATGGGGGTGTGACTTGTAGTTTTCTGAAAAGTTCATGGATACTTTGGGATTTATATATAGATTATTGAATACATACAGAAATGCTAAATTTTCTTCAGACAGGTAGCTGATCAAAATATCTATTCATAAAATAAACAATATAGTGTACTTTGTTCCTCTCGTCGTGGATCCTTGGTGAAATGAGTTGTCAAAGTGACGTTATATTTAACTCGCAGGTCCCAAAATGTCAGAAGTATTAACTCAACGTAAGCATTATTTTTCTTAAACATATCTTCTACTACATGCTTAAATGCAAATTAAAACAAATCCCATTCCATAAAAATCAATTGTGTGTGTGTGTGCATGGATTAGTAGCGATACTGTAATTCATTTGTCAGTTTGCAACTTTTTCAACATTCCTAATTATTTTGTATGCTAATATTATAATCCAGCCTCAGATCGACCTGGTCTAGTGGTAGAATGTGGGGCTTCAGCCTTCAAAGTCCCGGGTTCAAATCCCGCTAATCACTAATGGATTTTATCTCAGTGATGATAATGCCTCAACCCTCTAGGCCTAACATGAAGTAATGTGTATTGGCTCCAGGGCTAGAGCCTTCGTTCTGGATGTGAAAGTGGGTCATGAAGAAAATGAAAAAAAATCATCACTAGTACACGAAGCAAGACCAATTTTACACCTGGTCCGATAATAAATGAAATACTTGTTATGTTACAATTTTAGGAATTAAATGTTTTTGATCGTTTAAAAGTTGAGTTGTAATGAGCTCATTGTTTGGAATACACAAGCTCCCTGTAATAACCTCGTGAGGTCAATGTACTGAGTATCTGGGATATTTGAGGCTAAATGGCTACTAATTGCTTCTGTCGATAGCAACACCACTACCAGTAGCTATTTCGAACCTCTGCCGATACCAAAGGATCTGTTTGTAGAACATCTTTGATTTATCCTAGTCATTTTGGACATTTCTAAAGATGCCATGGTAAAATTGAACCTTTTGAATTTGAACTCAGGCAGTACCGGTACAGTGATTACAATGTATGCGTGTGAAGAGTCTGACTAGGCGTGTAAGATTAATGTTTGTGCATTTAAGTTTATTAGTCTAGGAGTAACATGTAACATGTTCTCCTTTTGACTTATCTTCTGTCACGTTTCAGTTCTGAAAGAGGAGGCGGGTCTGTATTCAGGGACCTTTAAAGCGGTCACCACTACTTTAAAATAATTAAAGCTATGTAATACCAAGGCAAAAATTTGGTTAGGATTTCACTATAAACTGTAGGTGCCTTAGTTGCCATTAGCTGTATAGGCTATTAATTAACAACTGTGTCTAAGGAATATGTCGACCTTAGTCACTAACAAGGACTGCAAGATCGTGCCACTCATCCTACACTCAACTCCATTCATACTTGGCTTAAAATACCTACTTTGTATCGTCATTTCAATGAAAAGTAAAAGTATTAGATGAATACGGTGATAATCTCCAATTTTAACCGTCTTGCCACATGTATTTGGGTAGACAATGCTTAGTAATTTGTTCATAAACTGTTACAGTTTAATTGTTCTGCATACATTACGTCTACGAGTTTCTCACGAATGTGGGTTTAGTCATAGAAAAAATATATCCTATCCTTGTCTGTGGTTTTGTGCATGCCTCCTACTTCATCTCAATATTTTTGTCCTAAGTCAGTCGAAAGGGGAAATAAATATTTATATTTCTCTAGTACAGAATTTCTTCCAAAATGACCTCCCTGTTGTAAATGAAAACACTGGTGGTTGTTTCCTCGTCGACTACTTCTATTTAACTCGTTTGTATTTAACGATAGACAATTGAAGTTTATGAAAAGTAGTACATCGTATAACGTAAAATTCCCCTAAAGAGTTATGAAACGTAGATTCTCTATCCATTATTACCCTCTAAAAACCAAACGTAGAATCGTCTGATCCGCTTATAGCTACTACCGCTCTAAATAAGTGATTAGGATAGTCCGCGGGGAGGTTGGACAAGTGAGTGACGTGACGGCTACCGTGGAATGCGGCCCTCGCCGAGACCGGTCGTGGAATGTGGAATGCAGAAAGTAGAATGCAGCGATCAGCGAACTGGGAACTGAGGTGAATGACGGCAAACACTTGTGTAGGCCAGGCGTAGGTGCGAGTCCAGCAAACACATGTAGTGAACAGTGAGTATTGTTATGCGGACGTGTTGGCCTTTACTGGATAGTGGAGATGAGTGCGAGCGTTGTCAAGCGTTTGACCATAGAACGTGATCATGCAGTAATGTACAATACCTGCGCTAACTGACGTGCAGGCGATTGAGTTTGAATTTCCTCTTATTAGTTCCAGCCTCTGAACTCTAGAACCCACTAAATAGTTTCTTTATTTTCGTGTGCGTATTTTTACCAAAGAAAATTTTGAACACGAACATTTGTTGAACTTGTTGAGCAGATTGACTAAATGACAAATCTTTATTATGTTGAGATTTGATTTATTTAACCGTAGCTCACAAATTCGGCGTACACAGTAGGTGAAGGAGTGATTGGTTATGGTGATTTGATTTAGCTTTAGCAAGCACGAATGCTAAATAAATTTGTCTGATGTAAATTTGTCTGTCATAATCTAATATGAATGCGAAACAATGCATGGAAGCCGTTAAAGGACTTAAAAGTCGGAGTTAGAACCCTGGTATATGATAGATGTAGCCTCAAGTAGCAAAAATTATTTTCAATTTAATAAACTCTTGTTTTTATTTCTATTATATTCTGTTTACTTACTGACAAAAGCGGTGCGTTTACGCTTTTTCTCGTAATACTGCAGTGAAAACAGTCGTTTTGTATACTCGCATTTCGGGTCTAGAGTACCATTTAAAAAGAAAAGGAGTAAAACACCCTTTTAGTCCAATGTCGTAAACCATTTTAAATTTCGATTGCAGCAATAGCATGTATTGAAATTATTTATCGATTTATTTATTAGGTTAGGTTTTAGCTTAGGGTTGCTCGCTCATTTCCCGACCTCGGCTTCGCCTCAATCGTAAAACTTGAAAAAGGGCCACCGATAAAATATACTACATCGTAACAAACTATGACCAAGGTTATATCACCTGCAAAATGTTTACGCTGACAAGTCATACAATTTATGTATACCGTATAATATAGCTGTACAACTTTATAATTTTTAGTTAGTCTCATTGGAAAAATACAGTTGCGGGTGATTATATTGCTTTGTTTGACTTTTAATGGCTAAAGAAGCCGCCCTATTCTCCGTATCTGATTGATGTTGTTGGTATTTATTGTTTACCCTGTATTTATTTGTTGTTCTGTTGTGTTGCAGCTCCTGTCGGTTAGCAGAGCGTCTGAGCAAGTATGAATGAGTTGGATAGTCTACGACAGGAAGCAGAAACATTAAAAAATGCCATCCGAGTAAGTCAAACTCCTACTTTTACTTGTATCATTGATAAAAAGAGTATAGACAGAATGTATATGTCTGTAATGACAGGAGTATGTCTACTTCTTTTAATCTATGCTTGTATGTTTAATTAATCTTAACACGTTGCCAAATCACAACCATTTTGTTCCTTTAGGGCATTTTAATATGTACACAATATAGGCACGATTTCAAATATAATGGATGATATTTA